ATATATTAAAAAAAAAAAACCCTAGGGACTGGGCATGGTGGCTCACACCTGAATCCCAGCACTTTGGGAGGCAGGAGTATCACTTGAGCCTAGGAGTTCAAGACCAGTCTGGGAAACACAGTGAGACTTAATTGCTACATTTTTTTTGAGACACAGTCTCGCTCTGTTGCCCAGGCTGGAGTTAGTGGCGTGACCTCGGCTCACTGCAAGCTTCACCTCCTGGGTTTTACGCCATTCTCCTGCCTCAGCCTCCCAAACAGCTGGGACTATAGGCGTGCACCACCTATGCCCGCCTAATTTTATTTTTAGTAGAGACGTGGTTTCACTGTGTTAGCCAGGATGGCCTTGATCTCCTGACCTCATGATCCGCCCACCTCAGCCTCCCAAAGGGCTGGGATTATAGGCATGAGCCGAGTCTGGCCTTTTTTTTTTTTCTAATTAGCAGGGTGTGGTGGCACACATCCGTAGTCCCAGCTACTAGAGAGGCTGAGGCAGGAGGACTGCTTGAGTCCAGGAGCTTGAGCCTGCAGTGAGCCATGATTGCTGAGGCAGGAGAATCACTGGAACCTGGGAGGCAGAGGTTGCAGTGAGCCGAGATAGCACCACTGTGCTCCAGCCTGGGTGACAGGGCGAGACTCTGTCATAGAAAAGGGAAGGGAAGGGGAGAGGAGGGGAAGGGAGGGGAAGGGAGGGGAAGGGAGGGGAGGGGAAGGGAAGGAAAGAAAAGGAAAAACACTGCTGATCTGGTTAGGTTTTATGTCCCCATCCAAATCTCATCTTGAATTATAATCCCCATAATCCCCACATGTCAAGGGAGAGACCAGATGGAGGTCACTGTAATCACGGAGGTGGCTCCTCATGACAGTGAGTTCCCATGAAAACTGATGGTTTTAGAAGGGACTCTTCCCCTCACTTGACATTTCTCATTACTGCCACCTTGTGAAGAAGATGCCCTGCTTCCCCTTTCTGCCATGATTGTAAGTTTCCTGAGGCCTCTCCAGCCATGAAGAACTGTGAGCAAATTAAACCTTTTTCCTTCATAAATTACCCTGTCTCTGGCACTTCTTTATAGCAGTATGAAAATGGACTAACAACCCTATACATCATGACCTGGCCAAATTAACAGACTGTTACAGGCTGAAGTGTGTCCCCGTGAAATTGTAGTCCTGACCTCAAGTACCTCGAAATGTAACTGTATTTGGGGACAGGATTTTTAAAAAATGAAGTCATCAAAGTGGCCCCTAATCCAATATGACTAGTGTCCTTACAAGAAGAGGTTTGTCCACAGACAGGCATGGAGGGAAGACACAGGCAAGAGAAGACAACCATCTACAAGTCAAGGAGAGTCTTCAGAATAAACCAAGCCTGCTGACACCTTCATCTCAGACTTCTAGCCTCCATCACTGTGAGAAAATAAATTGTTGTTTAAGCCACCCAGTCTGTGGCACTTTGTTATGGCAACCTTAGCAAAATAATGCACAGATCCACAGTGAACTAGCTCTACTAGAAAGCACTGATAATTACTACTGAAGGATTCTATCTATGACATACTGATCATACTAATGTCAGCAGTTATGGGTGCAGAAGTTTTTTTTTTTTCAGACGAAGTTTCACTCTTGTTGCCCAGGCTGGAGTGCAGTGGTGTGATTTCGGCTCACTGCAACCTCCACCTCCCAGGTTCAAGCGATTCTCCTGCCTCAGCCTCCCGAGTAGCAGGGATTACAACAGGTGCCTACCACCACGCCCAGATAATTTTTTGTATTTTTAGTAGAGACGGGGTTTCACCATGTTGGCCAGGCTGGTCTCAAACTCCTGACCTCAGGTGATCCAACTGCCTCGGCCTCCCAAAGTGTTGGGATTACAGGATTGAGCCACAGCACCCAGGTGCAATTAAGTTTTATGTGAGGGCTCTCTGAAACCTTAAAAAACAAACAAACAAACAAAAAAAAACAAAAAAAACTCTGTAAGGGTTCCTCTAGGTAAAAGGATTGAGAAAGGCTGTTACAGTGCTTTCCCTCTCCCTTTGACAGCATCCACTGGAAGTTACCTTCTCTTCTTCCTAGACCCAGCTTTGTTGGCCATTTTACTTACTAATCTGTGTTCACTAAGTGCCTTCTACGAACACTAGGCTGGGCACTGGGGATATAATGGTGAACAACAGACAAGTTCCTGCCTTCAGGAATTTTAGTCCAACAGGATAGAGATGAAAACTACTACTATATTGTGTTTTTTGTTTTTTGAGACAGAGTCTCGCTCTGCCAGGCTGGAGTGCAGTGGCACACTCTCAGCTCATTGCAAACTCCACCTCCAGGGTTCAAGGGATTCTCCTGCCTCCCAAGAAGCTGGGACTACCAGCCATGTGCCACCATGCCTGGCTAATTTTTATATTTTTAGTAGAGATGGGGTTTTGCCATGCTGGCCAGGCTGGTCTCCAACTCCTAGCCTCAAGTAATCCACCCGCCTTGGCCTCCTAAAGTGCTGGGATTAGAGGCATGAGCCACCGTGCCCGGCCTATATCATGTTTTGATAAATACTACAACAGTATTAGAGCACAGGGACACTAATACCCTTTGAGATTCATGGAAGGGATGAGAGGCAAAGAATAAACAGATGTTAGCCAAACTCCTATGGGTTGTTCTAGACAATGAAGGGACATGTACAGAAGCCACGGTAAATGTACTGTGCTGTGACTCTGTGCTCCAGGGTGCTAGTCCTCATCCTTGAGGAGGTAAAACTAAGAGTTATGATTTGAGATGGGCTGGGAGACAAGGATGGCACCAACTGAGTGACTCATAAGAGGGAGATAAGCATTCTCAAGAGGCCATAGACCATTTAGGGCTATAATACTTATGTAAAAATTTTATTCCCTTACAATGGGAAGGCAGATGAGGAATTAGAAGTGATAACAAGTAACAGAGAACAAAAGTGCTAAGAGGCTAGAGAAGAAAAACAATGGAATTAATGATCAGGCTCTAACACTGCTCCCCTTAAAAACGTTAATTCCGGGCGCGGTGGCTCACGCCTGTAATTCCAGCACTTTGGGAGGCCGAGGCGGGCAGATCACGAGGTCAGGAGATCACGACCATCCTGTCTAACATGGTGAAACCCTGTCTCTATTAAAAATACAAATAGTTAGTGGGGCGTGGTGGCGGGTGCCTGTAGTCCCAGCTACTCGGGAGGCTGAGGCAGGAGAATGGCGTGAACTCGCGAGGTGGAGGTTGCAGTGAGTGAGCCAAGATTGCGCCACTGCACTCCAGCCTGGGCGACAGAGCGAGACTCCATTTCAAAAAAAAAAAAAAAAAAAAAAAAACCACATTAATTACAATTACTTAACTGCCTGCTTCCTGTAGTTGTCATTAGGCTAATAATTGAGGACCTGTCCTTTTACTTCTAATTTATAATAGTCCGATGTTTATCAAAGTCAAGTTTTTCTCCATGTATCCTTAAAATTATTTACTCTGAATTCTAAGTATAATATTAAAAGCACAACACCTTGCAAAAAGAAAAATTGTAATTTATATATCTATAAGGGACTTGTATCTAGAATACATAAAGAACTTCTACAGTTCAGTACTACAAAGACAACCCATTTTTAAAATGGGCAATGGAGTGGGGTGTGGTGGTTCACACCTGTAATCCCAGCACTTTGGGAGGTCAAGGCAGTGGATCACTTGAGCCCAGAAGTTACCATCCTGGGCAACAATGGCAAAACCCTGTTTCTACAAAAATTAGTTGGGCATGGTGGTGCATGCCTGTAGTCCCAGCTACATGGGAGGCTGAGGTGGGAGCACTGCTGGAGCCCAGAAGATGGAGGGGCAGCGAGCCAGGACTGTGCCACTGCACTCCAGCCTGGGCAACAGAGAAAGACATTGTCTTAAAAAAAGGGAAAAAAAAAATGGGCAAAGGAACTGAATAGACACTTCTCCAAAGAAGATACATAAATGGCCAATATGCACATGAAAAGATTTTCACCATCATTAGTCGTTAGGGAAATGCAAATGAAAATCACAATAAGACATATCTTCACAACTACTAGGATGGCTAAAATCAAGCAGATAGTATCAAGTGTTAGATAGTATCAAGTGTTGATGAGAATGTGGAGAAATTCTCCACATCATATACTGCTGTAGGGAATGAAAAATGAAACAATTGCATTAGAAAACAGTCTGGTGATTGTTGAAAAGGTTAAACACAGAATTACCATATGACCCAGAAATTCCTAGGTTTATACCTAAGAGATATGAAAATATACGTCCACACAAAAACTTGTACATTGCCAGGCACGGTGGCTCATGCCTGTAATCCAAGCACTTTGGGAGGCCAGGGTGTGTGGACTGCCTGAGCTCAGGAGTTCAAGACCAGCCTGGGCAACATGGCAAAACCCCAACTCTACTAAAAATACAAAAAGTTAGCCAGGCGTGGTGGTGCGCGCCTGTAGCCCCAGCTACTTGGGAGGCTGAGGCACAAGAATCGTTTGAACCCAGGAGGCGGAGGTTGCAGTGAACCAAGAGCATGCCACTGCACTCCAGCCCGGGGAATAGAGAAAGACTCCGTGTCAGAAAACAAAAAACAAAAACAATTTGTACATGAAAGTTCATAGAAGCATTATTCGTAACAGCCAAAAAAAAAAAAAAAAAAAAACAACCTAAACATCTATCACTCTGGCATGGGAGATAAGAGTGAGATCCTGTCTCAAAAAAAAAAGAAGTATATAAAAAAGCATTTTGTAAAACTCAGTCCCGTGCAATATAATTACATTTATTTTAATTACTCAATTCTTTATTACCACAGATAACTAAGAACTAGAAGCAATATTTTCCATTTGATAAATACTAAATTATATGTACTTAGTTACTTTTTTAGGTACTTAGTACCTTTTATCCCTTAGTGCCTTTTTTTCCCCAGGTTTATCAGAAAAAAAGCAAATCCATCACAAGCTAGCTAAAAGATGGTGATCTGATTTTATTCATGTAACAACCTTTACAGGACCTAATACATACCATTTCCCCTCCATACTTCAGCTAAATGGCAGCTGCCTTCTCCAGGTTCCTTGCAAAATTCTACAACATCTCGACAGGTTGTTTCTGGTGTTATAGGAACTTCTGTTAAAATCTGTTCATTGTTGCTCAAGAAAACGGTTAATATCATCTGTAAGAGAAAAGATTAAAGCTACAACTTAAGATTCCTTATCACAAAGAGACTAATCTATAAATTTAAAGTGATCCCTCTACCCACCCCCTGCCCCCAAAATGCCAACAGGATTCTTTTCTGGAAATAATAAAAGATAAGCTGATTCTAAAGTTCACGTACAAGATGAAAAAGACAAGTCAGGAAAATTCCAAACGAGAAGAGTAATAGAAAAGAGCACTACCAGATCATTATAAAGCCCCAAAACAACCAGGCACCAGTACACATATAGATCAATGGGGCAAAGTCATATCCCAGAAATAGACCCAATTACCCACGAAAAAAATGGCAAATGATGAGGGAGGTATCTCAAAAATCAAGGAGGGAAAACGACTATACAATGAGTGATGTTTGAACAAAACATATCCATCTGGAAAAAAAATGGTTTCATACCATATATCGTACACCAGCATAATTTCCTAATAGATCAAATATTTAGATACGAACCCTAAAACCATAAAAAGTCCAGAATAAAACCTGGGTAAATTCCCTTTTATAGCCTTGGAGTATAGATGTTGTTTCTAACTATGACTCAAAAACCAGACACTATTTTTAAAAAGATTGATATTCAAGTATATTAAATATAAGAATCTCTTATAAACCAAAAAAACAAGGTAGGGGAAAATATTTGCAACTCATATTACAAATAAATAGCTAATCCCCTCAATACATAAAGCGCTCCTAAAAAAATGATAATAAAAAGACCAAAAATCCAATTCCTTAAAAGAAATTGGCCAGGGAGGTGTATTAATATATCACAGTAAAAGAAAAATAAACGACCCTTAAACCAAAAAAATACATTATAGTGTATTCAAAAAAATTAAAACCGTCTGGCGTCATTTTATTTTTTTGAGACAGGGTCTCACTCCATCATCCAGGCTGGAGTGCAGTGGCGTGATCTCGGCTCACTGCAACTTCTGCCTCCCAGACTCCAGAGATCCTCCTGCCTCGGCCTCCCAAGTAAGCTGGGACTCCAGGCATGTGCCACCATGTGCAGCTAATTTTTGTATTTTCTGTAGAGACAGGGTATTGCCATGCTGCCCATGCTGGTCTCAAACTCCTGAGTTCAAGCAACCCTCCTGCCTTGGCCTCCCAAAGTGCTGGGATTACAGATGTGAGCCACTACACCTGATGTTTTAATTGTTTTTTTGTTTTTCTTGAGACAGAGTCCCACTCTGTCGCCCAGGCTAGAGTGCAATGTCACGATCTTGGCTCACTGCAACCTCTGCCTCCTGGTTCAAGCAATTTTCCTGCCTCAGCCTTCTGTGAGCAGCTGTGATTACAGGCGCATACACCACCATGCCCAGTTGATTTTATTTTGTATTTTTAGTAGAGACAGGTTTTCGCCATATTGACCAGGCTGATCTCGAACTCCTGACCTCAAGTAATCCGCCTGCCTTGGCCTCCCAAAGTGCTGGATTACAGGCGTGAGCCACTGTGCCTGGCCTTTTTTTTTTTTTTTTTTTTCAAATTTCAAAAAAATACTAACACTTTGATCTAGCATCTTAAGACATCATACTGGAAGGAAAATGTTTTCTCTTTTTTCTTTTCCTCAGTGGAACAATGAAAGAGATACTTTAAAAACAATACACCTAGCTGGGCGTGGTAGCTCACGCCTGTAATCCCAGGACTTTGGGAGGCCAAGGTGGGCGGATCACGAGGTCAGGAGATCAACACTATCCTGGCTAACAGGGTGAAACCCCGTCTCTGCTAAACAAAATACAAAAAAAAACTAGCCGGGCGAGGTGGC